ATTCCTACTCTAGCATCTAGCCCCTAAGTCCCTAGATCACCTGGCTTGTCAGTTCTCAAATACAACCAGTACCAATTTATTCGCACAGCACATCAGCCTAAGCTACTCCAACAACTCGAGTCCTTTTAGCTAGAGACAGGCCTTCCTCTCCGCACAGCTCTGCCTATGATGTCACAAAGACAACTTGTGGCATCAGAAACATGTTCCAGGCCTATGGCATCATGACAATACAATGACAGAGGGGCAGGGAGAAGAGACCTTTGGCTTCTGAGAAGCACCCTTTATCTACTGGGTTCATGTGCAACTGACTAGACGGGGAGGGGCAGGGATGAGCATACTGAGGTAAAGGGTGGCATACAGGTGAGATGACTGGATCATAATGGAGTTGATGGATGAGCAAATGGTCAGTTCAAAATGATCCAAGCAGATGACTGATGAGCTGACAGACTAATTTCTGATATGACATAATTAATGCAATACTTCCTAGTACCCGACAACTGAGATGTGGCCCCTTGTGATGCACTCATGTTACAATCTCTGCCAGAGAAATTCTTTGCTAAACAGAAATGACACCTCAAATACCAAAAACAATTGTTGTGGGAGTGTAGAGACTAGCCCCTAAACTGAGAGCCAGTAGTCCCACTACCCATCTGCAGGGATTCCTGTATAGAGTCCCAGCCTGTGAGGAGTCAAAAGAAGGCACTCAGCAGCTCACAGAACTAGGCTCATACTTGATAAAGGTACTTTGTGATGACTGGTACTACATAGTACTTTATTATTAATAATGAAAATGGTCAAATTATCAGAGAGAGGATTGTGCATGACAATACAGGTTTGACCGATTTGTAATCACAATATACTGTTATTTTAAAACCTAGTAGATTAAGAGGCCACATTTGACACTTTTCTTACCTCTAGTAAAATGAAATTCTCTAACCAGGTCTGTTATATCCAAATTAGGATTTTCTGGAAGTAAAAATATAAAGCAAGATGGACAGTTTGGTTAGCGTTCTGAAATAACACAGCTTTCCAAATGTACTGAAAAGTATCACAGCATACAAGTAGGAACAAACCTTCTCTAAATGCAATTAGCTCTCTGAAGTAAAGAGCTGCAAATTCAGTGATGTTGCTTGGACTGGTTTTGAGAACAGCTCTGCTCACTCCTTCCAGTAAAGTCTTGAGGCCATATGGAACAACAAGCCTGGGCTTTACAGAATGCATCTTCAACTGAAGACAAATTGCACTCTCACAACTACAATGAAAAACATCGGCGTAAGTACTGTGTGTGGCGCAGTGGGGACCTACTGAGACGTGTCTAGTTCCAGGATTTATCACCATGGCACCTGATTTCACCTGGCCCTTCTCAATCCCAACCCCACTAACTACCGAAGAAAGGGGGTTTCTGGTCTATAACAACAAAC